TATCGACACACACACACCCTCCCCCCCGCCCCCCCCCCTTCCCCCCTTCCCCGTCACATTCCCCACCCCCACCCCCTCTCACCCCCCCCCTCCCCCCTCCACCCCCTATCCTTCCCATCGGATGTAGATGTGACGTCGCGTGTGGTGGCTATGGGCTTTCCTTCGCTGGGAAAGGAAGGGATCTACCGGAATAAGATGTCTGATGTGGTCTCCTTCCTCAACGAGCGGCACAAGGATGCGTATCTGGTGTTCAACCTGTGTGTGGAGAGGGACTACCCGTCAAGCCACTTTAACGATCGTGTGTGCAAGGACTTTACCTTTCATGATCACAACCCCATTCAGCTGGAGAGGCTCATCTACTTTTGCAAAGAGGTGGAGGAGTGGCTGGCCAAGGATGAGAAGAACGTGGTCGTCATCCACTGCAAAGCCGGCAAGGGTCGGACTGGCCTCTGCTCCTCGGCATACCTCATGTACTCGCGGCTGTGGGAGAACCCCGAGGACGCACTGGCGTACTACGCCATGGCTCGCACCCGTGACGGCCACGGTGTGACCATTCCCTCGCAGCGGTACTACGTCCACTTGTTCAAAAAGGTCATCGACGAAGGCGGCATGCGCTCGCAGGTCACCATCTTCCTCAAGCGCTTGCGCATGCACGGCCTGCCGGCTTTCAAGTCGCTGCACTTTGTCGTTCTCCGCGACGGCGTCGACCCGGTCTACACCTCACCTACCGTCAAGGTCTCCAAGCTCAAGAAGGAGGACGCCCTCCTTGTCGACTGGGACATCTCGGCCCCGATGACCGGCGACGTCAAGATTGTCTTCTACGACGGCTCCAAGAAGACCTTTGCCGTCTGGCTCCACGCCTCGTACATCGAGAACGGCTACCTCCGCCGCGAGAAGAAACAGATCGACAACGCCGTCAAGGACAAGAAGCACAAAATCTACCCTTCCGACTTTGCTCTCGAGTTCTTCTTTGACATCCCCACCCCGCCCACAATCCCCACCGGCCCGCCGCTCGGCTCCGACTCGATTGTCGACGCCACCTTTGAGGACGATGCCGACGACGACGGCTCTGCCGGCTCCTCCGCTCCCGCCAGCGACGCTCCCGAAAGCGATGCGCCTGCCGCAAGCAACACTGCTGACGGCGGCGCCGACGAGTCTGGCGACAACAGCGACGACGGCTCGGCCTCAGCCTCCTCCTCGGCGTCTTCGTCTGCTGACTCGTCATCGTCATCGTAACCTCCTCTTCCTCCTCCTCATCTTCCTCTGTGACCCATATCGTTCTCTCGCGCCGCGATTAACACCCAATGACCTTGTATCTCCCTCGCATCCGCCCTCCCCAACATCGTGCCTCATGACGCGCTCCGCCACGCTTGACACAGCCACGTGGCGCCGCACCTCTGCACCCCCTCACCACCACCACCACAGAGCACACCCAACCCCACACCACACCCCCCACACACACCCACAATTGTCTTCCTATGCTTCGCCTCGCTTGTGCAGCCCATAGTGCCCGCACTGCCGCCCGAGTCGGCGTTGACAGGCTGCTCGCGAGCAGCGGCAGCCGGACGCCCAACCGCTCGCCCGCAACGACGGAAAGTACTCGGCTGACAGAGGCAGTGCCTCTGCGTATGGCATCAGGAAGTGTTGGGCGTACGATTAGGTCACCGCGCGACTCGTGGGTCTCGTTCCATCTCCCGTTCGCGTCATCGCCTGCGCTGCAGGCCAAGTATGTCAACCCGAACGCGCGGTCGCCGCGGGTGGGCAAGCTGCTGGAGCTGCTGGACGCAATGGCCGGGACTGCGGCGTATGCGCATGCTGGGATGGGGATGTACGACACCGAGGGCGACGGGCAGCGTGATGCGTTCTTTGCTACGGCCTCAATCGACCGCATCGATCTGCTCAATCACGTGGCGCTCGACAAGGACATTGCCATCCACGGGTGCGTTGTGTGGGCCGGCTCGTCGTCGATGGACGTCCGCATCGAAGTCACCCACGAGGTACCCGACGGCCCGCCTATTCCGCTCATGCTTGCTTCATTTGTCATGGTTGGCCGCTCGACCTCTGACGGCTCGGCCTTTCGGGTCCCGGCGCTCATCCCGTCGTCACCGCTCGAGCTCGAGTGGAACGAGGCTGCGGCGCTGAAGCGACTGCGGCGCAAGGCCGGTGGGCGGAAGCGGACGTTGATTGCCGAGCCACCGTCGTCTGCCGAGCAGGAGCATCTTCATGAGCTGTGGGCGCGGCGGACGGCGGCGGAGGAGAACGCCGCGTCGCGCGACTGGACCGACATGACATCGACGGCGCTCGACTCGACGACGCTCACCATGCCGCAGTCGAAGAATGTGCACTCGAAGATTTTTGGCGGCTACCTTGTCCGCCAGGCCTTTGAGCTGGCGTACACCGATGCGCTGCTGGCGTGCAAGGGCGCGCGCCCCGAGTTCCGCACTGTCTCGGACATCTCGTTCATCCACCCGGTCGAGATTGGCTCGGTCCTGCAGTTCAAGTCGCTCCTCGTCCACACCCACGAGCAGTCACTCCAGGCCCGAGTCGCCGCCATTGTCATCGACCCGTCGACCGGCAACAAGGTGACGACCAATACCTTCCACTTGGTTTTGAGCTCGACGACGGCATCGGCTCGCCGCCGTGCGTCATGCCGTACTCGTACGAGGAGACGATGCTGTACCTTGCCGGCCGCCGGCGTGCCCAGAGCAACGCTGCGCTCCGCTCGTCGTCGACCTTCCAGCCGACCGACTACGCTGATCTGTTTGGCGACGACGTCGAGCCGCTCCAGCTTGATCTCTCCTTCCTCCCGTCGGGCTCCGAGTACGCGGATGTGTAGTAGCCGGTTTTTTTACTGGCGCACCTCACGCCTCGGCTGGGAGCTGTGACGGATGGCCGGCACACGGCGGACAAATGGGCTTGCCCTCTACGGCCGTACCGGCCTTGCCGCGGCCAAATTGGCCGGTGATGGGCGCGTCGCAGGAGGCGCACCGCCAGCATGCGCCGTGGATGACGCCGCCCATGGCCTTGACGATGGTCCCCTCCACAATGCTCTCACCGCAGATCATGCATGGGCTTCCCGGCTCCTCGCCGCTCTCGCCACGGATCATGTCGGCGCAGTTTCCACAGAGCGGACTGCCCGATTCGGAGACCATGTAGTCGCCTGTGAGCGCGATGGCGCACGAATCACAGGTAAAGCAGGCAGCGTGGAACTTGCCTGACGGCGTGGCGACGAGCGTGCCCTTGCCCAACAGCGATCCGCATCCATGGCAGTACGATCCAGCGCGCTCTGCCGGTGAGGCCAAAGTAGCCTTGGACACAGCCGGCCCGGATCCCGACGCACATGTTCTGCAAACAGGGCGACGACCATCGGCATCAACAGCTGTGCAGGGCGAGTTCGATGACGACGGCTGTGTGGTGGCCGTGAGGACAAACGAGCCGTTTGAGAACGGCCCTCCACAGGTGGTACACACAAAGCAGGCTGGGTGCCATGTCCCGTCGAGTGCCATGACCTGCTTGCCCGTCACGGGGCAGAGGCATCCAGAGCACTTGGCAGCCGATGACACCGTCGTGGAAGACATGGAGGTGGCGTGAGTGCGGTGGGCGAGGAGTTTTCCCGGTGCCAGGTGCGTGCGAAAAAGGGGGGGGAGGGGGGGGGGGGGGGGGGAAGGGAAGTGGTCAGGGTACCGGGCCATCACCACCGCACACATACCCATCCATCACACATACCCATCCATCACACATACCCATACCCATCCATCACACATACCCATCCATCACACATACCCATACCCATCCATCACACATACCCATCCATCACACATACCCATACCCATCCATCACACATACCCATCCATCACACATACCCATCCATCACACATACCCATCCATCACACATACCCATA